AAGAATCAATAAAATTTCTCAGTTTCAACATTTGATACGTGTGTGATAACCTGCATTAATAAGTGAGAGATATTTGAAGTTAACAGAACTGAAAATTGGAGATGATAATCTTTTATTATCTTAATATTTGATTAAATAAAAGCTAAAAATAGGATAAAGAGGCAAAATGTCCACCTGCATCTTCAGAATGAGAACTGCTAAGCTAACATAGTGACATGTTGCTACCAGCAGTGTTGTAATGCTACAGTGATGTGAATGAATATGCCTGCAGTGGTGGACAGTAACTAAGTAAATGTAATTCATTACTGTACTTAAGTAGTTTTTTCTTCTATCTGTACTTTACTGAAGTATTTCCATTTTTGGTGACCTTTTATTTTCACTCCACTACATTTCAAAGTCAGATATCTCACTTTTTACTCCACTACATTATGATAAACCTGTCGTTCCTTTTGTTTTATGTGTGTATAAAAACGTAACGTCAACACCAATCAGGGCACAGCGCACTTTGTTTTGAGCTTGTTTTGACCTGTTGGTCATACCGACCCAGTGCAGCACACGGTTCAACATCAGTGCAGCAGCGGAAAGTTTCGGGATGCCTATTCCAACATAAATGATGAACTAACCTAACTTTGTGTAAACAGACCACAATATAGAAATATGTACACATATGCAGTGACTGACGTGTCTTTATTCTGACTTTATACAAACACTTTCATTTTATAGTAAATTAGTTTTGGCTAGTTTATGTTTATGAACAGAGACCTACAGATGCAGTTTAGTAAAGGAAACTCATTTGTGAATCTGAGTTTAAAGTTTTTATTAAACTTAACTATTAAACTATAAAAATGAGTTGCAAATAAATCTTAAACTGAAACTTTGCTTGTTTGCAAAAAGTGATTTCAGAGCCACTCAGTTCTACCTGATGGAAACTGTTCGCCTTCAGTGTTTTGTGCTTATGATAATTTTAATAGACATCAGCGTCACTTATTAATGACATTCTATTAAAAGACTGGTTTACCAAGAGTGACACTCGAGTATTTTCACCTAAAATGTGTTGATGAAGCGAGTCTTGTTACAAAAAATGATAATAGGACATTAAAGTCATAATTAATCTTTTAGTACTTTCACTTTCGATACTTAAGTACATTTGAAGGCAAATACTTTTGTACTTGTACTCAAGTGGAGGTCTAAAGGGAGGAACTTCTACTTTTACTGGAGTAATATTTTACCTTGGGTATCTCTACTTTAACTCAAGTACATGGTTTGTGTACTTCGTCCACCACTGCGTGCCTGATATTGTAATGTTGTTGGTAACTGCTGCAGAGAGTTCTGATTACAGAGCTATGAGATTGAGAGGCACCAATAAATTATCTAGCAATCTATATATTGAGCAGCATTGAGTGGCTGGAGTGTTCCTTTAAAGCTCTTTCCATGAAGTGAAACAGTGAACAGGTGTTTGGTTGCTTATATGGCAGTGAATGGAAGCCTGTTGTTGCAGCAGACTGCTCTCTCACCTACACATATTACTACTTTAGAGGAGATGCTAAGAGGCAAACAGAGCTGTAAACACTGAAGTGCTATCAACAAAATCAACCAACTCCTCGCTCAAGGGCATCTATTCAACATAATGACATAATTCTGCTGCAGCGGTTTGGGTGTGCTGTTTAAAGTGGAGCTATTATATGCGTGGTGCCTCGGTCACATCAGTTATAACAGTGTCTGAATCATATTGAGCAATGAAGTGCATGCTGAATCTTCTGTATTCGCCCCCCCAATTCACACCCCAACCCATTCATTTTGGCATCAAAAGAGCTAAATTGTTTTTCTTGCTTGAGTAAAGCGCACATTAACTGGCGCAGTGTTGGTGAAAGCTCAGTGGAAGGGAAATGCTTCCTCTCCTGAGGCCTGATCCTGGCTGACAAGTCTAACCGTGTGAAGCTCTGATAGCTGTGCATGAGTATATATAAGCAAAACCGCTCGCCGTCTAACAAGGTTTTCAGGCACTCTAATAATTCGGTTAAAGTTAAAGAGGCATTATTGATTCAAGCTTTTATTTTTCGCCTCCTTGGATAGCGCAGAGTGCCTCTAGAGGTTGGCACTGACTATTAGCCTGTCTGCAAACTTTTCCATGAAGGTAATAAGGCTGAATGTAAAGGCTTTCCATTTCTTTCAATCCCTGAAATGCAGAAAAGGGCTGGATCATAGCAACAACTCCATCTTCCTCCTCCTCCTCCTCCTCCTCCTCCTCCTCATCATGATAACAATAACAACTGAACGTATACAACAGTTAGTTCCGGCCATGCAAGCTGATTGGTCGAGAAGCGTTCTAACTGTGCTGTTATTTCACCATAACGTCACAGGTTTTCACAAACACTGTATCACTCCGCTGAGACGCCGTTGCTAAGCAACGACTCTGACCACTGTAGGAGACGCTCAAGACATTTGAACGTTTTTACTTCTTACTTTGCCACAAACAGAAAATGGACACTTTTAAGATCACATTTGACCGACAGCCGATTTGGTCAGACTCTGAAGATGAGACGACACTAAATTCCCAAACTGTCATCACCACTGAGCAGCTTTTCAGTCGGCAGCTGTGACAGAAGAACAGCTGAACAACCTGGAATCAGCCAGAAATGAACCCAACACCATTCGCCAAACGTGTAGTCTGATCTTCAGAGTCTGACCAAATCGGACTGAGCCATAAAACTGCCACAATAAAACGCTTACTCAGTGTATACTCATTATATATTTTATAATATTTATTTGGCATTTGTTTACTTTGTCATTTAAATCATATATTTCACAGTCATGTATAGATTATTGCAGTTAAAACAGCAGAAAAACATGTTTTTTTACCTCAAAATATGGCCTCAGCCTTCACACATGACTGTGAGGACAAGCACTTCTGTGGTGCTTGGAATTCTATATGATTGATTTAAAAATCAATATTGCTAAATTGAGGCTCAAGAAGGTGTAATTGTTAAAATAACTTATTGTTTTATTTTAACATATAAATAAATTATAACCCTAACATGTTTTTCAAGTGTAATATATCTGTAAATGCTAGGGACACAAAAATGGACATTTCTGTAGAATGACCCACATCACATTCACATTCCGAGTGTCCATCTGAAGCACAAAGAGGAATGGGCACAGTGATCATTGGATTTTGAGGAGCAGAATGCACTCTCTGTCAGCAAATTGGCTAGCCTGAGTCTGAATATACTGTACATTATAAATCGTAATTCGTGAAAAACTGTTTTGTCTGGCTATAAACATTGACGTAGAACAGCCATGTATTGCCTTTGTATTTGTTGTTACCCCAGTAGCCTAGTTTGCTAACTTTAATAGCAGAGCAAAGTGATGAAATTGTGGCAGCAGTCATGTATAAGAGGAGTGGAGGAGTTTGCTACCTAAAGCCAGGCAAATCAAATGTTAATAATTTTGAAATATTAAGTATTTTAAAGTATTTTATTGCTCTGGCTTATGAACAGCTTTGTCTGCCATTTTTGAAAATGGAAATTAGTGAAGTTGCCATGATTTTTGGACAAATTCCACTGCTGAAGTCGACACTTGCGTTCACTCGATCCCTCACCTCTCTGAGGGCTCCTACCTAATACACTTCACTTGAGCTACTAAAGTCATGAATGTGTGTCGATCACTATGGTTAGAAATGTGACGAGTGTGCATTTGTATGGTTATCTAGCTCGGAAGGTACAATGCTGGTGCTATTAGCGTGTATCAGCAAGAGAATGAGTGCTTTTTGTTCATTATTTAAAATTTTCAAGAGACACTGTAAAATTGCTTGACATGCAGACATCTGTGTGAGTGTGAGTAGAAAATCATCTTCTCATCTGATGGAGTCTGTTTATGCTTATAACAGTCCTAAAATCTGGTCTTGAGCAAATTACAGAGCCATCTAAATCTGTTTCATGGATTGTTGTTGTTAAAAGAGCAGTAAGTACAGCAGGTCACAGTCGAATTACCAAACAAATTCACCAAGAAATTAGATTTTTTTGGTCTCCTTTGCCAGCACAGATGCCGAAAACATCGTGAATAATGTCAACTTTCAGGTAGTGTTGTGGAGTCAATACCAAAAGAGTTGAATCTTTGACTCCAACACATCAGGATTGGCCAATGATTCAAAAGATATGAAATGCTTGGAGTCGACTCTGACTCTGTCAACTCCAGTCACAAAAACGTTTTCAATATGCTTTACTGCACCAATCTGCACCCAAACTGCACCTGTCACTGTCTTTCTGACTGGGGCAACAGACAAGGATCAGAAATGGTTCAAGGAACGAAAACTAAAAATTAACAATAGTTTTCATAGAACACTGTGGAAAAGAGAATGAAATTAGCTTCCTATTCGTCAGCTTCTTCCAATTTTTACGATCCACATAAAATGGCGCTGCAGTTACATTCTGCCACCTGCCTGCAGCTGCAACATGTAAGGTGGAACACAAAATTCAAATAAGATGCCAACTTTAACCTTGTGGAAAAAAAAAGAAGTGAAGAAAACATTCAAAAGCTCCGGAGCGAAATAATAATGACTTCTAGAATTATGAACTCAGTAATAACTCTGAAATTTTCTTAAGCACCGTAACTTCTCAGAAAATTTGGTAAACTAGGTTTAGGATGGTTTAATCTCTGCTGTACCCCTTTATCGTCGACTCTGGCGCTGTCTTGGTTACAGTGGATTCATGCATCACTACTTTCAGGCCTTATAATTTACTGTTTAACTTACAATTTTTTTATTTGAATTTATTTAAAATTCTTATTTTTATACTTCTTTTGCAGGCAAGTGCAGCCTAAGAATATTGCGATTTTTTTTCTGTACCATAGACACTTGTAAGACAAATGCCACGCAGCTGACAGTGGTCTGGCAAAATTAAGCTTTCCTGGTCTTGTTCAGATACTGTTGCATCCAAATTCCTCCTGGGGGATCAACAAAGTACATCTAGCGACCTACTTAATAACGATGATAATACTATTACTAATCATAATAATTTTATGGCACTTTCAATAACCCAAAGACATAATGGTTAAGGACACAAACAAAACATTAAGGACAGCAACTGATTAGCAGGAAAAAAAGAAAATCCACAGAGACTTGAACTTGTCACAACAGCACATGTCAGAACACTAATATAATTACACCTCCTTAATAGCAGCTGGTGTGGGGAAGAGTACAGTACTTAAGTCCCAATGTGTCCCAGTGGGCCAACTTCACTCAAGGAGATGAAGCCCAGCCTCTGCACTCCTTTCCTCCTGCTTTCCTGCCTCTTTACACTGAAAAATAGTGCAGCATTGAATCATTTCCACATGAAGAAAATATCTTACATCAACACAATTATTGCCAAAAGAAAATAAACCGAAAGACAAAACTGTGTTGATGTAATATACTTCTTTTCAGTGTAGCAGTCTCTCATTTTGGCGGGTGGTCTTCCTGGAGGTGGAACTGCCTGTTGGGTTTGGTGGACTCCAGCATCAGTTCATACAGCTGTCCGATCTGTTCATCCTGAAAGTCTTGGAGCTTCTTTTCAGACAGATCAGATCCAAACAAAAGCTTCTTATTTCCTGCTGCCTCCAGCACCTGAGCCTGGAGAGTGTCCTTGTAGTCCTGCAGGAACAGAAGGACAGCAGATCAGATCAGATCAGGATGGACGACATGGTAAAAACATCACAATACGACACATTTCCATGATACATAATACACATCATGGTATTTAGTCTTGTTTGAAGGTTTGCGAGTTGCAAGGAACAAACAAAATGCACTTGCAAAACCGCAGTGAGATGCATGACCCCTTACACCGCCAGATTTAATACTTTCTAAGGCTTATTATTCAGTAATTACATGGAAAACAATGCAATATGACTGAGTTATTCTTAGTTATAGGAGTGAGGAATGGAAGCCTGGACACCATTGGCTTGGGGGAAAATCACAGAAAGTTTCCAAAACTGGAGACTGCAAATTTTCAAATCACACAAAGAAGCTGCTGGTGTTCTCAGAACAATGTACTGACCACCTCAGAGTCCAGGCTAAAATATCACCGAATGTGTTTGGGATTATTTGGATCGTGAGAAGCAGGAAATAAACAATCTTCTAAGACTGAACTTTGGAAGTGTGGAAAAATATCCGTGCAGATTTCTTTGAGAAACTGAAAGTGAGTCTCCTGAAAAGAATTAAAAAGTTAAAACCTTAAATACTGAACGCTACAAAAAATATTGAAAAACTGGATTGATTGTATTACACTGTTAGAAATAAAGGTTCTGCGCAGATACAGTTTTCGTTCATCAAGGTACGAACAGTGTAAATGTTCCCTCAAAAGGTCCAACAGTGGTTTTAAGGTCTGATTGTGAACCTTAAATAAGTTTTTCCAGGTGAAAAGTTCGTATTTGTACCTTTTCATAACCGAATGTTTTAAAACAGAACAGTAAAATAAAAGCCTGGAGACGAGACGGGGTGTGTGGAGTCAGTACAGCTTAGAACATATCATTTCAGTGGATTATGGTTCAGTTATGTTCCCTGACTAAAGGTACTGAGATGTACCCTTGAGGGTTCCACCCCAGTGACAAGAGGGGAACTGACCCAGTGACAGTTTCGTTTCTTTATTTCTGAGAGTGTAGCTGTTGAGGCTTCTTTGTCATTTTCTGGTCAGATGTGTGTTTTTTTTGCTTTTTGTCTCGATACTTAAAATGAATTAACTTTACTTAATGGCCATTTTGACTGGAGATGAAATAAATGAAGGGTATTTATGTATATAATAAGATAAAGGCATAATGGGCTGGAATCCAATCAGCCACTTGTTACTCTGCAGTTTATGCAGTTATTGTACACCGGCTGTTGTTGTTGTTGTGTAGAGGTTCTCTGTAGTGGTTCTAAGTCTGCTTTTATGATCTATGCAGTTGATCAGTGTTGTAGACGTAGTGACCATACACCTATATACAGAAAAGCAACATAAGTTATCACAATAACAATAAGATAGTCAAACTGGCCTCTCCGAGATCAGACCTCACTACAAAATATGAGGCAGTTTATACAGCACTCAGGTTTAATGGTGCAGTAGAGTTGCTTTTAGGATGAATAAGAAGGTGGTATGGTGGACGGTCATCACTTACGGCTGCTACTCGAGTACCACTGCTGGACACGCACTTGCACTAAACACGTCACGGACACGCAGGAGAATTCGTTTTACGGAGCCTGTATTGATTTACCATAAAAGATTCCTGCGACATTCATTTATTTATTTATTTAATGATAAAAGATTTCACCGCCTGCCATGAACTGCCGTGCCACAGTGCGGGTCCTGAAGGTCGTGTAGAGATGGTGTAGGGCTGTGGGGTTCATTAAGGTATAATGGAGGTCAGAACCCAAATGTGACCCACTCCTCTCATGTCATGTGCTGAGACCGCTCCTTTAATACAGCAATTACTGCCCGCCAGCCCCCACAGCTGCGCACTCCTTTACAGAGCACAGACATGCGCAGCACGCATTAGAGACTGCACCACACATTCAGAGTGGCCCAGTTAGTACAAGAGCATCTCAACAAAATGCTAAAATGACAAAACCAGTCTTTTGATTAATGGCTGCAGTGTATTTTAAGAAGGGATGTCCAATTCAGGCATATTTTAATGGATTAGGTATCCAGTATAGTCAGAGGTGGAAATGGCCAGGTTTTACGGGGAGAAACCAAGGTTGGGTTTTCTTTTTTTGCAAAAACACTAAAATTACGACAGCGTTTTAGGGCCACTGTTAATAAAAATAAAAATAGCAGACTTAGAGGAAGAAGTTGTAATATTTCGAGAATAAAGTCGTACTATTTCAAGAAAAAAAGTCGTACTATTTCGATAAAACAAGTCATGATATTTTGAGGAAAAAACTCGTAGAATTACGACATTAAAGTGGCATTAATACCACGAAAGGTCGAAATATTGTGGCCAAAGCGTTTCAAAGAAACGGCAGCACCTCCTCGTGTTAAATGAGGGGTGTTGAGTTGGTGGAGTTCTACTTTCATATTGATTTCACCCATAAAGAAACACTCAGTCTCCCTGTCTCTCCTGCACATCAGCACCAGCCTGTTATTAGTATAAGAACCGGCTGAAACGGCTGAGCAGGAAACTGTGTTTATCTAGAACAAAGAGCCAGACGGACTCGGAGGAAACTGTCTGTCTGTGTTGTTGAAGGAGAATCTCAGGCAGGGTTGTCTACACGGCTATCGGGGGCTACATCTCCCCCCATTCAAAGAGGGCATGAAGTTTCACAGACAGTGAGAATGATGATCAAAATGATCCACAGAGAGACAGGAGTGAGTGGAGCTCCGGCGCCAGTACAGCAACCCAGACCCCAACGCGTTACGGCAGCCCCCCTATAGTTAGCCTCCTTTATCCTCCAAATAGTACAACTTTTTTCTCTAAATTTTACGACTTTATTCTCGAAGTCTACTATTTTTATTTTTATTAACAGTGGCCCTAAAACACCATTGTATAAAATGCCTGTTTCTAGTGCATTTTCACACTAAAATACACTTTAAAAATGCCCTTCCATTCATGGATTTCATAATCAACCAATAAATGCTTCAGTCTAGTGCATTTCCTGCACTACAAATCATAGGACGTTTCGAGAGCTGAAAGCTGGACTGATTTTCTCAGAGGTTTAACCTTCTATCAGGGGTCTCTGACCTTAAATGAAATAACAAAAAGATTTAAATTCTACATCTTACATCTATTTAACATTAATTTCCTTAAATACAGATGATACCATTTCTGCACTGCAAAAATAATATCTTGTCAAGAAAAATAATCTTAAATCTAGTCAATAAATCTAATATTTCTCCCGTTGAGATTATTGGAAGCTTATCGTAAGATTATTTAACTTATTTCCAAACATTTTTTACTTGTTTTAAGTAGTTTTATTAAGTACAATAATCTCACTATATTGGCAGATAATTTTGCTTATTTTAAGAAATGTGCTTTAAACGAGCTAAATTATCTGCCAGTATCGTGAGAATAATAATAATAATAATAATCATCATCATCATCATTTTTATTTATATAGCACTATTCATGGCAGCTCAAAGTGCTTTGCAGGCAGTTGATAAAACATAGTTATACAAGAAATTATAAGAATTAACTTAGAATCAGAAGAAAATTGGAAGATAAAAACCACAAGACATACAGTTTTAATTAAACACTGAGTTAAAGAGAGATGTTTTTAGATGCTTCTTAAAAGTGAGCACTGAGCTTGACTGTCTAATAAAAGGTGAACTGAGCTCCACAGTTTAGAAGCAGATTAACTGAAGGTGTTTGGAGAAGGTCACTATCTGCAGATCTAAGATCACAAACAGACAGACACTCAGTGATGTAAGTGGTGCTTTAAGGTCATTTAGAGCTTTAAAAACTAGTAGCAGGACTTTAAAATCTATCCTGAATGATACAGGCAGCCAGTGCAGCTCTTTTAAAGTGGGAGTGATCTGATCTCTGTTTAGTTTTTGTTAGGATGCTGATGCATTTCATACGAGTTGTAAGGGATGTATTGTTTTCTTAGGACGTCCAGAAGATCATTACAGTGATCAACTCTGCTGGAATAAATGCATGAACAAGTTTCTCTGCATCGCTCTGAGACAGAAAAGGCTGTACTTTAGTGATATTCCTCAGAAACCTACTTTAGTGACTGTTTACATGCAGATAAAACACAGCTCAGTATCCAAGATCACACCCAGGTTTCCTACTTCAGGTTTGGTATATGAATCTAAAGAACCAATCATTTTTCTCTGAGTTTCTTTACCAACGATCAATATTTCAGTTTTTTCATGATTTAACTGTAGAAAATTTTGCGACATCCACTGAGAAATATCTGACACACAGCTGGTTAGTCTGTCTACAGAGTCTTGATCATCAGAAGGAATGAAAATGTCTAACTGGGTGTCGTCAGCATAGCTATGAAAATTTATATTATGCTTCCTAATCACGTCACCTAGAGGTAGCATGTACAAAGAGAAAAGCAAAGGCCCTAAGACGGAACCCTGAGGGACTCCACAAGAAAATGCCAAATCTACAAGAAATGCCAAATTCCTTAAAACAGGTAAAAGATGTCTAGAAATAAGCTAGATAATCTTAAAATACGTGCACAACCATCTCAAAATAAGAAATATTGGATATATTGACTAGAATTAAGATCATTTCACTTGACAAGATACTATTTTTTGCAGTGTGTGGAGAGCAGGAACGTTTGTCAGGATCAGTCTGGAAAAAAGAAGCAAAATCTCTTTGAATTAGAGGTGGGTAATATGGCAAAAATATAATACTGGGATACTTTACATATTTTTACAATATCAACAATAATTTTTTAGACATCTGATCAGTTGGAATAGAGAAAAAAGAACTAGTAGTGCTACTTTTAAAAAAAATACTATCAAAAACTTTGAATACGATGATTTTTATTAAATATTTGGCACTAAATTCAATTAAACAGGACTAATTTTGCTCTCTTTATAATGAAACAGGCAGTTGGTCAGTGTCTACAAGTACTGACGATACACACAGTATGTTCAGAAAACCATACTATATTGTACTGTGACATAATTTATCACAATAACGATATTGTCATGCTGCTCAGCCTTA